AAATTTTAAAAAAAATTTATATTTCATGATAATTTCATGATGAAATCCACGAAGAAAAATACAGTAAATATAGCAACGTTACCTCCAGCTATAAACGGTTTCAGAGAACACTTAAAGAGAGTATATTATCAAGTACAGTATTGGATAGGATTTTTAACACAAAGCAATGAAGTTCCAACTTTGAATCCAACCGATTGGGGTTGGAAACTTGTTGACGGTATTTTACATCCTGTAAGAATGACAGAACCGCCAGCTCCCAAAAAAATTATGGAGGCAATAATGTGTGGATGCCATAGTGGCTCCGGAAATGCCTGTACTTGCCGTAAGAACGGAGTTTATTGCTCACAAACGTGCAAATTTTGTTGTGGAACAGACTGCAAAAATTGCGAAGCGCCTGAAACAACAGTAGACGAATCTATTTCGCTAGCTGAAACACCGGAAGAAGAAGAAGAAAATATTCCTCAAGAAATGACAAATACTACATCGCCAGTTCTTGAATATGATTCAGATTATGAATAATACTTTCAATTACGATAATAAATATTTTTACAACAAATGTAATAAACGTTTTATTTTGATTAAAAAAAAAATTTAATTTAAAGAATTATTTACCTTGAAGTAATAAAAGTATTGCATGCACTCCTGTAGGAAATACAATTATTAAATACAGATGTTGCCATCATGATTACTGTTGGAAAACATAAATTTTCGTAAATTTTTTCATGTTGGCAAATTAAATTTTATCATTTTTACCTCGGATTCGTGATCAGCGACCTCGAAAACTCCCGAGAGACGATTTCCGAGCCGAAATAGTGAATATCTTTATATTTGTCGTCACTGGGGGTGGTTTTTAGGGGTTGAAACCATCCCAGCGCACAAATGGACCTCGGATTCGTGATCAGCGACCTCGAAAACCCCCGAGAGACGATTTCCAAGCCGAAACAATAAATTTTTCTGTAAATTTTTGGTACTGCAATTCGTGGGGGTGTTTTTGAGGGTTAAAACTACCCTAATTAATTCATTCTTTGAGGTAGGGCAAGGGTTAGTGGTGATGAATGTTCCTGAAGGTCTACAGAATACGGGACAACAAGAATTTTTAAAATCGGTGCTGTTTCGCAACTTTTCCACATATTCCGGCTTATTTACTGGACTATGAGGTATTCAGCATTGGATGCTACGTGTGGTGCTCGTACGATGACGCGTCATCGGCTTATCGGTTCCGGCGCGATAAGAATTTCGTTGCGTGTGGTTCGCACACGAACTCAAAGACATGGCGCGTGAAAAATAAAGTATCCACTAACGTTCCCATGGAAGCTTTATTGAAACAATGGAAGGTATACCGTAGCGCGACGCACTGTCACGTGTGAGAAACCGTTTGCGCCGGACGATGAGCGGACACGCGACCTCACCGGATGATATCGCGGCTCATAGTACATGACACCGATTTGATCACGCTAAATCATCTTTCCATGAATATCCTATTTTGGCGTTGATATTAATGGTTAACCGGGACGGTGCATTCATAAAAAAATGATTTCTTGAGTTTAGGATTGTCGTAACAAGTCCATTTTTCACCGCTAGTCACAATTCGATGCAAAAACGACTTCTGTTTTTGTCTTTGAAGCAGTAATTCACAAATGGCTGAATGTTTTGCAATGTTTCTTTCTCTCAATTCATGTGGGATCCAATTTCCTAACTTCTGGAACTTTCTCATTGCTCTTAAACGTTTGCTAACGGTTGACATATCGACATTTAATGTTTCCGGCAACTCTTTGAGCGTCTGACGTGAATCTTCTTGAAGTAATGCCTCCAATTCTCCATCTTTAAATGTTTTAGTTGACCAGGGTGCTCTTTGTCATTTACATCAAAATCGTTGTTTTTAAATCTTCTAAACCAATCTCTGCAAGTTGTTTCAAATAGAGCATGATCCCTTAAGCGTCCACTAGCAAACGACTTTCAATAACAGATTCCTTTAGGTTAAAATAGAAAAATAACGCTTCCCGCAAATGCTCTTTTTTTGGTACGAAATCCGACATTTTTAATGTGATAAAAGATTGTGTTCTTGGCATTCGATCAAATGTTATATACTGATTATTAAAGCCTATTGATAGTACTTTCATATACATAAGCAGTCACTTTCGGCCATGTTGACAACACAAATACTAACCTCTCCTGGTCAACAGCAAAAATTAATTCAAGCACCTAATATTAATTTATTAGCTCAATAATTGCAGATTTAAAATATTTTCAACGGATACTAATAAATTCCAAACTAATAAAGAGAAACAAGGTTACGAGCCAATAAATTCGTTAAAATCTTTTAATTTATTCTAGTATATTGCGAAGAATATCACGTAATTTTTGGCGTTTCGTCCCGGCTTCCACTACTGGACTCATCAGTAAGGTATTGTAATGGAAGCTTACCTTATACACCTGAGAGAGTTATTTAGTAGAGATTCTATACAAAGAGATATACGCGTATCAAAGCACTGGCGAAAATTTTGCGAATATCTATAGACCTCTAATGGCAGGTATATACGTATTTCATACATGGAATTACTTTGGATAAATATTGCGAAGAATATTACTACGTCGACCCGCCATCAGAGGTCTATAGATATTCGCAAAATTCTATAATTGGCTTATAGATAATCACAAAATTGTATAATTAATACATAGTATAGTTAATCCTTTTATACGTTTTTATCCGGTCTAAATGTTCTTCGCTATGTGGATATTGCTGTTTTGAAATATAATAAGATAAATTTTATTTTATTTAGATATTGTTGTTTAAAATATTGTATTGCGGGATTGTACAAGCATTCGAAGAGGGCTGAATCATACAACCAAAACATGTAATGCGCACGTTATTTAATGTAAAATTTGTCGACTAATTAAATCAGTATATATAATTAAAATGTAGTTTATCTCTTTATTTGAAATTTGACAAATTAATTATTTGACTCTTATTAGTCCTTTATATTATATAATTGTCAATTTTATGTTAAGAGTCCTTGTATTCAAATTAATTTTATTATAATTTAGTTTTTGAATGTTTCTTAATTTTTGATTCTTGCCTTTAAGGGGATCCTAAATTACCCTACAGGCCTCTATATTACCGACAAAATCGTATAATTTTTGTATCGTAAATACTTTTTTTGTCATTCACAGATTCGAAAATCCTTTTACAGAATTAAAGTATACGCATTAATACGTATCTGTGAGGTAGAATCTATGCTGAAAACAATAAAAAATTTCAAAATTGAGTTCAATCTATGCTAAAAACAATAAAAAATTTCAAAATTGAGTTCAATCTATGCTGAAAACGATAAAAAATTATACGATTTTGTCGGTAATATAGAGGCCTGTAGGGTAATTTAGGATCCCCTTAATATCACACAATTGTTATTTTGTTATTTATTAACTGTCTCGCTATCTCGACACACACACACACACACACACAAAACTCCAAATTTCTCTGAAAAAAAAGAATCGTGGTAATCCTCCAAACGTATCACACTCTGTAATATATTAAAATTCATATATAATTACTCAACTATGAGGTCTGAATACGAAGAAGATATTATGTAGTTAAAATAAAATTAATAATTGTATAAGACGTAAATAGTAATGTGTTCTTTTCTTGATTTAAAAAGATCTACCAAATAAAAATCAGTAATACGACACGTAGTATCTTATATAAAAATGTGTAATATTATATACACATATATATATAATAAGTTATATATATATATAACCTTTATTACTAACAATAAATCAAAAAAATATCTATCTAATCCAGTCTTCATTAATTATTTTAAATTATAAATTAAAAAGCTATAATACAAATTTCTGAAACTCAATGTATATAATGAAAAAGTACGAATAAAATGAAACCAATAATGATAATAAAAAGCCATGCGAAAATATGAAACGCTTAAATATACAATAAGAAAAATGAAGAACAAGCATGATATCAGTGAATTAAATCAATATCTTTTTGTTCGCTCATTACATTATTATTTTTCATTACAAAAAGATATAATGTATTAAAGTTTTTCAATCAGGAGTAAAGAGTCGCGTCAAAGTGAGTGTATTAAAGAGTTTTCAATCAGTGTTCAGATAATCAGTGTTCGCGTTATATGACGCAATTAATTGATTCTATCATTTTCTGTAATTTAATTCATTCCCATCCAAAAATCAATTAATTCAGATCAACCTTTTGCCCTTCACGATGATGAAGTTTACGCAACAGCTATTGCTATTCTAGTTGGATAATTACGAAAGTTGTCCGTCCTGGTTTTCGCAGTTTTTCACGATCGCCTCTCGGAATTACTTATAAGATGACTATGTTCAGATTAGTCCACGGAGTATAAGAGATCTATCAGCCTACAGTGAGAGGCACCCACGGAACACGTTTCGCTTTCACTAAGCCAATCTCAAGCGTGGGCCACGTGTATTGGAAAACTGAATGCGATAGATGTGCATTGGGCAGGGTACGATGCACCGAACTAATGTGTCTGAAAAGAGGAAGAAGAAGAGACTAGGGCAGGTTTTAAATATGCAATCACCGATTATGAGCCGATAGCGAGGTTAATCCACGATCGAGACCCCCTGGTGTCACAGCGCTCCTCAAGCTTGGCGTTCAAGTACAACCTGCCTTGTCCTCGTCGTGACTCGCCAATGACGCAATGCATGAATATACTCCACGGGAAATCTAACCGATAGCTTGTAGTTCTACCTCTATTGCTGCTACTGTAGCATCTTCTTCTTTTTCTTCTTCTTTTTTTCTCCGAGGAAAGCAGTCTTTGAAAAGCGGTGATTCCGGAGGCAGCTCCTTGATCGGTACGGCTTCGAGATTGTTATCGTGAAAAGTGAATGAATCTCGGGCTGCCAGGTCTCGTGGCAATCGAGTCGAGAAAGTGGAGGTAATACAGCAGAAAGAAGGAGGAAGGAGAAACACAGCAAGCAGATCTTGGAGTCGCCATCGAGTTCTTCTGGCCGTCAGACCTGCTTTATCTGATCGACTTGGAGGATTCCTCGCGAGGACCAAATTACTGCTAAATCTTTCCGATACGCCTTCGAAACTCCTGGCTCGAGAGATGTGGCGGCTGTCGATATTGATCGGTATGATTACAATCGCGAGAGCCGGACCGTACGACAAGACGACGGACTCGGTGAACGACAGAACTCTGTTTATTAGAAGTCTGCCGGGATATCCTGGAACTAGAAGCGATCTCTATGAAGTCTATATGGAACCATATTATTTCGTAAGTACTTAGGTTTTTTCTTTTTTATTATTGAGATATACATATATATATATATATATAATGAATTTTTATTACTTTTTATTTGATAACAGTTATTCAGACTTTCATATTATTTTTTTTCATGCAATAATTTTATTTAATCTCTAACGGAATTGTTCATTTTAATGTAATTAATGATAAAATTGGAAATCGATATTAATCGTTGCCTTTTAATTATCAAAATTATGAATTATTTTTTTATTAATATAATAAATTCTTATGTGACATTACATATTTGATTACAATTATTCAGGAACTTCCATATTTTCTTTATTTTATATATAATAATTTTATTTCACTTTTGGATTTAAAAAATGGACTTTATCACTGTGTGTATGTTATATAATTACTGATAAAATTGGAAACTGATATTAATAGTTGCTCATTAATCATAAAAATAATTATTTTATTATTACGTGATAAATTTTTATGGCATTATATTACAATTATTCAAAAACTTTTATTTTATATATATGCAACTTTTATATATTCTTCATTTTATATATGTACGCAACAATTTTATTTAATTTGAGATATCTATTAGTTTAAAAGAAAAATAAAGAAGACCTATATAATAAGATTATAATAAGTTTTTCCGCGGTAATTAGTGAAAAATAAATTTTCAATTTTAATAAATATATATATAATGTAATTAATAACTACAAATTAATTTGTAATGTTATACACATATTTAAGAAAATTTGAAAAAAAATTTGAACAAACGAGGAAAGATTACCGCCTATAACGGTTAAAGCTGGATCAAAGTGCTTATTATAATTATGCGTGAATTTTTATATACTACATATGTAGTCCCCCCATAATTGCGCGCTGATAACATTCAGATATAACGCATAAATACTACAGTAGAATTATAATATCACCGATTTTTATTTAATTAATTACAATTAAATATGAAGATAATAATTTAAAATTCCGTAAATAGATCTTTAATTTATTCTTTATATTACGAAAAATATCACATAGTTTTTTGGCGTTTCGTCCCGGTTTCCATTACTGGACTCATCAGTAAGGCATTGTAATAGAAGCCTACCTTATACGCATGTGTTAGATGTTAAGTCGAGATACTATATGAAGAAATGTACGCGTTGTATATTTCTT